CCCTTGAATTTGGGCTAAAGGTTAATATCCCATTGGGATCATTCATCTGTCAACATTTACCAAGTGTCTATTCTGTACTGAGCACTGGCTAAGGTGCAGGTACACAGAGAAGATATAGTCCTTGCTTTCTAGTATATAGAGCAAACAGATAGGAAAATCAGTCTTTACGACAGTGAGATAAATGCCTGACATACAGCGATCCTCAATAATACTGAGTGGCTGAATCAGTACTATAGTAGAACTGCACACAAAAAACAAGGGGTCTTCCCAAGGGGATTTATCCCTTTGCCATAACACGGATGAACCTGAAAGTTCACTATTTTGTATACTGGTACACAGAAACCAGCTGTAAAAGAATAAACAACTAGTGAAATAGACAGGAACTATCAAGGTTTATGAGACAAAAAGGGGAGGGGAGGCAACAGTCAGGAGAAATATTATCACTCATTTTATATAAAAGAATATTTTAATTCTTGTCCTTAGAAACTATAAAGACTATACATGATTTGGAAATGAGACTATACCAAACAATGGCCAAAGAAGAATCGTCCACTCTATGCCTTCTCTTTTGTCTGGTCACTCAGAAATATAATGTTATCTGTAAAAAAAGCCAAAGTATAAATATCATTTTCAGAACTCTTTCTCCATTCCATTTAATCATTCCTCTCTAATACATACATACTTCAGTGCTGCTAATGAAAGAGATTTTAGAGAAATTCTCAAAATATTAAACCACTCTTGCTACGTTCATGAGACACATTTACAACAGGCATAAATGGAGCTAAAAGTTGGGCTTCGGCTGTTTGTCAACAATTCAGACTTTGTTAGAAGAGGTGGGATATTCCATCACACAGTTAAGGTCTTCTCAGCAATAAGTTCCTACAAAAGAACTAGTCACAAATTTCAATGCTTGCAATGCTCAGACAGATGCCATTAACCCAGGCAGCACATCCTCACACAGAAAAGAACCAAGGCATAACATTACATGTGCTGGAGGTACGGGGCAAAGAGAGGGCTCAACATATGGCCCCGTCAGCAAAGA